CTTCAAGTAAAAACGTTTTAACAGTTTTTATTTCCTGCCTTCTCTTTCAATTTAATTTTGTCCAAATACTTTAACATTTTCAAAGGAGGTGGCTGATATTTGTTTGAATTAAACTACAAAACTGGTTGTGGGAGCTGCACACAATTCTATTCTTTGTGACTAGTACTGGTTGTAGTAGTACTACTGGTAAACCAAACCCATAAGGACATCATACAACAGGCCTTCAACCCCAGTTCTCAATACCCACCGTCCTGCAAAAGTTAAACGTGTCTCTGCCTCAACACACTTGAGTTAAATTGTTTTACTCCCTCCTCAGATTCAAGAGCTGGAGAGGTCTGTTAATCAGCCATTCATCCAAGTCAGGTGTGAATGGTAAATGGCATGTACTTTTATAGCACCTTTCTTTAAGAAGGTTTCTTTCTTTCTTTAAGTCAGGAGACTCGACCAAAGTGCTTTACACTGCATTCATTCACCCATTCATTCACACACACACTCACAGACTGATGGTGGCAAGCTACATTGTAGCCACAGCTGCCCCAGGGCAGCTGTGGCTACAATGTACAATATACAAATGTACAATACTTCCCTGGGGCTCACTGACAGAAGCGGGGCTGCCGTACACTGGTGCCACCAGGCCATCTGACCACCATCAGTAGATGTAGTGTCTTGCCCAAGGACACAACGACACTGAAAGTCAGAGTCGGGGCTTGAACCGTCAACCCTTCGATTTCAAGGCAAACTCCTACATCCAACGCCTCTGTCGCCCTATCGCTCATGCTGGACAGTCAGCTCTAACTGCTGGACTGTTAAAAAAAAAAATCTCTAAATAATGTCACACACTGCATCACACTGATGACATCAAACCAAAAACCCTGCATAATTGTATCATATATATTACAGCTCGGAACTTCCATATTAATGCGTTTTATTTGCGCAATGTTTTTTCTCATGTGAATGTGCTCACCTGCTTCCTGTCTTCTGTGGGCAGAGATGTCGCTGTTGCTGTGGTGAAGCCCCTGGCTGCAGGTCTTGGCAACCCCGGCACTCACAGCCTTCTGCGTACTGACCGACAGGTAAACTCTTATGTCTACCTGAATGGGGGGAGGGGCTAAGCAGGTCTGCATCTGAGCTCAAACCAGCTGATCATTCCCACTGATCAGTTCTGATTCAACTTTAACAAAAGTAGCGCCATTATCCAATCATTGTAAACATCAACACAGAGTCTGACGATGTCTCTGTCCAGTGGCAGAGTGAGACCATAACACAGGACCTCTATGGCAGTGGTTCTCAAACTTTTTCTGTCATTCCCCACTTTGGACAAGGGGGAATTTTCAAGCCCCGCCTGTCCCCATCGCCCCAACACAATGCTAATGAAATATGAAACAATCTTAAAATGTTCCAATTTTATTGAAGTAACAAGTAGTATCTAAATACAAACTATCTACATCAAATAACAGCAAGCTCAAAAATAAAGAAAATAAAAATGCAGCTGTGTCAAAATTTGTATCAAGCTCAAAGATAGAAAAAATTAATGTGCCACTCTGCAATCTGTTAATAAAAGAAAATAAGTGAAATCCAACAGGCAAGACACGTCTATTTATCCCTGCATTAGTGGCTGCAATGAGCCTGTTTTGCATTGCACAGTTTCTCAAAACGGGGTTGCAGGCTTGATACTGCCACTCTCAAGTCATGCTTTGTTTTCAGTGAAGCAACAGTTGAAAAGCCCATCTCACAGAGATATGATGTGGCAAAGGGAAGAAGAATGCACACAGCTCTCTGCCCGATGAGTGGATACTCCCTCTCCACTCCAAACTAGAAACATGAACATGTGGCTGTGTGAATCAAACGCCGTTATTTATTTAAGATAAATATTTCAAATTCAGTTATTTATGATCAACCTGCGCCGTCAATCCCGGCGCATGTGCGCTTCATTTGCAGTCTGGACGCTGAGGGTAAACATGCTGTGTCTCTGACTGCAGCGCTGAGAGGGACTCCTGCGATAGCGGGGGAGAACGGGGTTGGGAGGGAGGAGGCGCCCCACGGCAGCAGGACAAGAAAAGGAACGATACGTGCTTTCCCGTAACCCCCAGATTCCACATACTCCGTCAGCGCTCCGCTCCGCTCCGCCCCGCTGACGTACGTCGTGCGGAGCGCTTGTCTTTCATGGAAATCAATGAGAGCTGTTCCACATCCACCGCTACTCCTCCGCACGTCTCCGTCCACGTACGTCTTCTCCGTCCGTCACCGACAAATTACGGAGCCGAGCTATTTTTTGCTCCGCTCCGGTCAGGTCAAGATCCGCAATTGCAATCGCACCAAACAGGAAAAAGAACCTCGACAAATTCCGGTTCGTAAAATTAAAATATAGTAGCAACAGATCGGTGACTAGAAATTATAGCACAATTCTTATAAATATCTAAAAAATAAAAAAAATAAAAAAAATAACACCGTTTATTTCAATGATTGGATCCAAACTATTGGTTATTCACCAACCAGGAAGCAGATTTCTCATCTCCATTAAAATATTTATTTTATACCGAGGGACTTAAAGTTTAATCAAATCCATTCAAAAGAAACTTCTTATTACATGAATGAAAAGAGATGCTGAGTTGTAGAGAACAAGTTCATAAAAAAAAAAGCAGTTTTGAATTATCCTTATCTCTGTTACAAAAATCTACAAAAATATATATATATATATATATATATATATATATATATATATATATATATATATATATATATTTGGGCAGAAACTGAACATATGCTGGATGATGGTGGGATTTTTTTAATATGTCATATTAAATTAAGCGCTCACAGGGTTCATACAGGAATGATTGACTCTAATTTAATGCTATTTTAATGATATTTGAAATGATTTTAATGCCATTAACAAGAACCATGTACACAAGTTATTAGTGTACATGAAATATGGAGCTGTAAGCACAGTTCCATGACTCCTGTATGTATGTAAAAACACACACACACACACACATATATATACGTATATATATTCTCTAGCTTTTTCTCCGCCTCGAGCTTCCTTTCCGAACATACAGCTTTATAAACAGTTCCACGCAAATTAATAGCGATATAATATATCTGACGAAATTGTTTTTAGAAGCATTTTTATTAAAGAATCATAAATGCAACGATAAACATATTTAATTAATTTTAGTGCCAATTAAGGGCTTGATTAAAAAAAGAATTATGAATTGTAATTATTTTTAATGATCCGCGGAAACCCTGGTTCATCTGGCGCATGCCCTCTACGATCTCCAAGGAACTCGGAGCGGAGCGGAGGGGACAGCGGCGGCTGTAGGCTTTGCTTTGTGCAGGCGGTCTGGAGCGCAGCGGGGCGGAGCGGAGCGCTGACGGAGTATGTTCTCCAAAAGTCGCTAGATTTGTCGCAAGTCGCTTTTTTGAAAAAGAGTCGCTGGAGGGGTCTGAAATATGGCGACAAAGTCGCTGAGTTGGCAACACTGGGGCGCGAAAGTTTATTCCGTTACAAATAATATGCCGACGTCACGTCAATCATCATTTTGGCACTTCAGTTCCAGGTGAAATTTTTCTCATATCTAATGTTCTTTTAATTAGACTGCATGTAGGCTAGTAATGTGGGTTTGATTAGTCTAAAAAGCGGCAACATACAGCTATAAGGACAGTTTGCTCTCACACGTTATAGTCACACACACAGACACACACATTCTGGTTTTATGCCCTTTGTGGGGTCCTCCAGTTTTTTGGTGCTTTATGGGATCCACCCTTTCCAGTGGTCCTACACTGCTGTAAAAACAAGGGATGGATTTAAAAAAAAATCCCAATCCTTAAAATCACTTCAGTTCAACAAATTTCTAAAGTTTTATCCAAAAAGGCATTTGGCGACTTGTGGGATCCCGTTCCTAGCATTGCCAACTTGTGGGGTCCACTCGCATACACACATACATATCAAGTTTTTATGTGTTTATGGGGCCCAAGGTCGCCATTAGCAGATGCTGAGACCAGCCTTGATTATTAATCCCAGTTTCCGCATTTTGGACTAAAATAGTTATTTTTGTAATGAGGAATGATGCACAGTTCTGCCATACAGTCTGACCATTTGAGGTAATCACTGCAATCGGGTGTTTTCTGTAATGGTCAATCAGATGACACCTGTTGACAGGTATGTTGGTCCACTGTTAATGAAATAGCTGCTTAAAGGTTGAATATGGAAGACGGGCAGAACAGCAAGATCACGTGTGTCTAAGTTGTAGTTGCAACGGCCGAAAAACAACTCCAGCTGCTGGGATCCCAGGCTCGCTGCTGATATGCAAGTGACCACCAGCCTGCAGCATGTCCTACAAGTAACACGGAGGAGTTTATAACTCACAGCTAACATTAGCCACGTTAGCAAACAAGCTAGCTTTCCGATCGAGGAGAAAAGTCACCATTTCCATGTTTTTGATGGCTTAGAAAACGTTTATATGGGTCGTCTTAACCTAAATCTGTCAGGTCACTCCTCTTCAGGAACACCTCCAGGACTCTGAAGCAGCTGCTTGACTCACAGTCTTCCCTGTTTCCCCCTGTGCTAGCTTGGCAACCGTGCCAAACATACTATTGCCACACAGAGATCATATTTGGCAACCAACAATGGCTTATAGATGTAAACATAATGCCATTGTCAAAGCCGTAAATATTTTTATAATTATTATCAAGCTAAAAATAATTTTTTAATGAAATGTTATACTTTCATTCTGCAACCCTCCAACCTTTAAATTTCTCTGGGACACTTTTTAAAAATTATTTTTCAAACAAAATTCAAAATCAATATTCAAATAAAATAAAATTATAATTTCATAATCTTTATTTTTTTTTTTACCATTTTCAGTTTCTACTTATTTGAATCACTATTGTGAATTTAACCTTTTCTTTAACGGGAGGGGATGTAAACTTTCAAGCACAACTGTTTATGTAAAACCTTCCATTTGCCTTGAGACATAAAAAGAAGCACGCTACACATAAAATTTTCTGACAAAAATGAAAAGACCACTTTTATTGTTGGCATTAACAGTTTATGCCACAGTTGTCAAACTGAGTCCCTTTCCAAACAGATTAATCCAAAAATATGCAGTAGGGTTTTCGGTGCCGCTATGCGGCAACAACAGCCTCAGCCTGAACTTATATCTAAACCAAACAGTTTTTGTTGTACAAACACTGAAATTACATGCTTTTTAGGACTGCATCCTTAGTGTCATGTTAAGTTTTTTTTTTTTTTTTCCAGTGAAAACTCAAATTTAAAAGGCATCATACAGAGATATTTAAACAAATAAAAAAATCCTTTGAAATAACATTTCCTGCGCCCGTAATAAAAATAAATTAAAAATAAGATAAAATAAGAATTGTGAAATGTGTATATTTGTAGGCCACGGGACAGTAACAAATCCTGAGCAAACCTCTACAACAGAACACATAAAGGATTAAACATTTTAAGATCCTACCTCAAATGCTTCGGTTTTACCTCAGTTCCATTAGGTGCTGTCACACTACACCTTTCTTCTCAGGGCTGTAATGTGATTTTTAATGTAGTATTTAACTGCTTTCCAGTCCCTGTTTCTGAGAGCTTGAGGTTCTGCATCAATACAGCGCTGACACTCTTCTTTACCAGGAACTTGACCTCTTCTGATAAATCTCTTCAAATGTGTGTTCACTGCAGCACACTCGTCTGGGGTCCAGCTTCTCCTCACAGCAGTTTGCTTTCCTATGTAGGCAAAAAACACAAAATATTGTAGGTTTTCTTTTGTGAAGAAAAATTTTAGTCACTTAAAATAGCAATACTGTTTGATAGATAAAATATGTCATACCCGTAACAAGTTACAAGTAACACAAAAAAAAATTCTGTATTCACAGAGTTTTCCAGTATAATTTTCCACGCAACAATTAAGCAGTAACTGTTATGTTCTGTCATCTAAAAGCAATTTTTCTCTTTTTTGTAGGGTTGCAACGGTACACAAAAATCACGGTTTGGTGTGTACCTCAGTAGGGATGAGCAAGTTCACCACTATCTGTGTCTGTTCAACCATCTAAATTATCTGCATCTATACTCGAAGTGGGTGGGGTCTAAACGTGAAGTGGGCTTGGTTCAAGCAGAGCTGGATGGGGCTTAAATTGGTACATCGTTTTTATTTTATTTTTTTTTTATTTAGACTTTAGAAACTCAGAAGCTGATCAAATATCGGGTTAAATATCGGTGGGGTGGCCGATGTCCGATATTCAGTTTTAAGGCCGATACCGATAGGGGGCCGATTATATCGTGCATCCCTACACCATAGCATACAAGTCAGCATAGATGAATGTGTTTAAATGTACTTTTACCTGTGTCCAGGGCTCATCTGGGATTGGTCCATCATTTAACGTCATAGGAACAGGGCTGGTCTCATTCTCAACTGCTGCTGCAGGAGTCTGAAGGCCTTTCACCTGAAATATAGAAGGACAAGAATGGATTTAGAACTGAATGAAGAGACATTCACAGGCAAATAAGATCATCTAGTGGTCAAACATTTCTGAAACAGCACAGTGCTTCAACCAAGAGCACAGCATGGTCTTTAGGACTCATCAGCAGCTATTATGATCGGATCAATGCAAAGATTGTGTTTAAAGATGCAACAGCTCAGAGAGTGCACAATGATGAATGTTAAAATCACAGCTGAGGTCATGTCAGGTGTTACCATGGTGCCTTAAAAACAATTACAGTAAGAACTGGACGGGAGGGCCCCACATGGCTCACACTAGAGACAAGGGAGTGTGTAAAGGAGGGACTACAGAAAGAATGCATTTGGAAAATTGAAGGACCCCATAAGGACATGACTGGAAACATGACGGTGTGTGTGACATTACCTGGTCTTTACCACTCAATAGCTTCACCTGATAACTTTCAAGTCATGCAAGCATTGAGCCACTTTAATAATAGAACACCATAGCATACAAGTCAGCATAGATGAATGTGTTTAAATGTACTTTTACCTGTGTGCAGGGCTCATCTGGGATTGGTCCATCATTTAACGTCATAGGAACAGGGCTGGTCTCATTCTCAACTGCTGCTGCAGGAGTCTGAAGGCCTTTCACCTGAAATATAGAAGGACAAGAATGGATTTAGAACTGAATGAAGAGACATTCACAGGCAAATAAGATCATCTAGCGGTCAAACATTTCTGAAACAGCACAGTGCTTCAACCAAGAGCACAGCATGGTCTTTAGGACTCATCAGCAGCTATTATGATCGGATCAATGCAAAGATTGTGTTTAAAGATGCTACAGCTCAGCGAGTGCACAATGATGAATGTTAAAATCACAGCTGAGGTCATGTCAGGTGTTGCCATGCTGCCTTAAAAACAGTTACAGTAAGAACTGGACGGGAGGGCCCCACATGGCTCACACTAGAGACAAGGGAGTGTGTAAAGGAGGGACTACAGAAAGAATGCATTTGGAAAATTGAAGGACCCCATAAGGACATGACTGGAAACATGACGGTGTGTGTGACATTACCTGGTCTTTACCACTCAATAGCTTCACCTGATAACTTTCAAGTCATGCAAGCATTGAGCCACTTTAATAATAGAACACCATAGCATACAAGTCAGCATAGATGAATGTGTTTAAATGTACTTTTACCTGTGTCCTGGGATCATCTGGGATTGGCCCATCATTTAACGTCATAGGAACAGGGCTGGTCTCATTCTCAACTGCTGCTGCAGGAGTCTGAAGGCCTTTCACCTGAAATATAGAAGGACAAGAATGGATTTAGAACTGAATGAAGAGACACTAACGGGCAAATAAGATCATCTAGTGGTCAAACATTTCTGAAACAGCACAGTGCTTCAACCAAGAGCACAGCATGGTCTTTAGGACTCATCAGCAGCTATTATGATCGGATCAATGCAAAGATTGTGTTTAAAGATGCTACAGCTCAGCGAGTGCACAATGATGAATGTTAAAATCACAGCTGAGGTCATGTCAGGTGTTGCCATGCTGCCTTAAAAACAGTTACAGTAAGAACTGGACGGGAGGGCCCCACATGGCTCACACTAGAGACAAGGGAGTGTGTAAAGGAGGGACTACAGAAAGAATGCATTTGGAAAATTGAAGGACCCCATAAGGACATGACTGGAAACATGACGGTGTGTGTGACATTACCTGGTCTTTACCACTCAATAGCTTCACCTGATAACTTTCAAGTCATGCAAGCATTGAGCCACTTTAATAATAGAACACCATAGCATACAAGTCAGCATAGATGAATGTGTTTAAATGTACTTTTACCTGTGTCCTGGGATCATCTGGGATTGGCCCATCATTTAACGTCATAGGAACAGGGCTGGTCTCATTCTCAACTGCTGCTGCAGGAGTCTGAAGGCCTTTCACCTGAAATATAGAAGGACAAGAATGGATTTAGAACTGAATGAAGAGACATTCACAGGCAAATAAGATCATCTAGTGGTCAAACATTTCTGAAACAGCACAGTGCTTCAACCAAGAGCACAGCATGGTCTTTAGGACTCATCAGCAGCTATTATGATCGGATCAATGCAAAGATTGTGTTTAAAGATGCAACAGCTCAGAGAGTGCACAATGATGAATGTTAAAATCACAGCTGAGGTCATGTCAGGTGTTACCATGGTGCCTTAAAAACAATTACAGTAAGAACTGGACGGGAGGGCCCCACATGGCTCACACTAGAGACAAGGGAGTGTGTAAAGGAGGGACTACAGAAAGAATGCATTTGGAAAATTGAAGGACCCCATAAGGACATGACTGGAAACATGACGGTGTGTGTGACATTACCTGGTCTTTACCACTCAATAGCTTCACCTGATAACTTTCAAGTCATGCAAGCATTGAGCCACTTTAATAATAGAACACCATAGCATACAAGTCAGCATAGATGAATGTGTTTAAATGTACTTTTACCTGTGTGCAGGGCTCATCTGGGATTGGTCCATCATTTAACGTCATAGGAACAGGGCTGGTCTCATTCTCAACTGCTGCTGCAGGAGTCTGAAGGCCTTTCACCTGAAATATAGAAGGACAAGAATGGATTTAGAACTGAATGAAGAGACATTCACAGGCAAATAAGATCATCTAGCGGTCAAACATTTCTGAAACAGCACAGTGCTTCAACCAAGAGCACAGCATGGTCTTTAGGACTCATCAGCAGCTATTATGATCGGATCAATGCAAAGATTGTGTTTAAAGATGCAACAGCTCAGAGAGTGCACAATGATGAATGTTAAAATCACAGCTGAGGTCATGTCAGGTGTTGCCATGGTGCCTTAAAAACAATTACAGTAAGAACTGGACGGGAGGGCCCCACATGGCTCACACTAGAGACAAGGGAGTGTGTAAAGGAGGGACTACAGAAAGAATGCATTTGGAAAATTGAAGGACCCCATGAGGACATGACTGGAAACATGACGGTGTGTGTGACATTACCTGGTCTTTACCACTCAATAGCTTCACCTGATAACTTTCAAGTCATGCAAGCATTGAGCCACTTTAATAATAGAACACCATAGCATACAAGTCAGCATAGATGAATGTGTTTAAATGTACTTTTACCTGTGTGCAGGGCTCATCTGGGATTGGCCCATCATTTAACGTCATAGGAACAGGGTTGGCCCTTCCAACTCACTTCCCTGCAGGAGTTGAACCCTTTTTAAACCTGAAATTTTAAAAGGGGACAAGAATGGTTTTTAAAAACTGAATGAAGGAAAAATTCACGGGCAAAAAATCTTTCTAGGGGTTCAAACAATTTCTGAAACAGAAACCAGGTTTTCAACCAAGAGCAAAAGCCATGGTCTTTGGGACTCACCAGCCAAAATTATGACCCGGACAATGCAAAGATTGTGTTTAAAGTTCCCACACCTCAGCGGGGGGTGCACAATAAATAATGTTAAAATCACAGTTAGGTCATGTCAGGTTTTAAACCTTTTGGTCCCCTTAAAAAACGTTACATTTAAGAATTTGGACGGGAGGGCCCACATGGCTCCCCCTTTGGGGAAAAGGGGAGTGTGTAAAGGAGGGACTACAGAAAAAAATGCATTGGAAAAAAATTTGAAGGACCCATAAGGACATGACTGGAAACTTGACGGGGGGTTGTTTGAAATTCCCGGGTCTTTCCCACTCAATAGTTAAATTGAAAAATTTTAATTTAAATGCAACATTGAGCCATTTTTAAAAATAGAACACCATAGCATAAAAGTCAGCATAGATGAATGTTTTTTAAATGCCCAAAAAACCTGTGTCCAGGGACATCGGGGTTTGGGCCCATCTTTTAAACGTCATGGGAAACAGGGCGGGGTCTCATTTTTCAACTGCGCGGGGAAAGGGGGGGGTCTAAAGCTTTTCACCTGAAATAAAAAAAAAGGACAAAAAGGTATTTAAAACCTAAAATGAAGAGACTTTTCCCCAGCAAAAAAAAGACCCATCTAGTGGTCAAAAATTTCTAAAAACAGCACCGTGCTTAAACCCCAAGAGCCCGGGCATGGTTTTTGGGGACTCATAAGAAAGCTATTATGATGGGATAAAATGCAAAAAAATTGTTTAAAGATGCAACAGCTCAAGAGTGCACAATGATGAATTTAAAATCACTTCTGAGGTCATGTCAGGTGTTCCCAAGGTGCCTTAAAAAACAATTCCCAGTAAAAAACGGACGGGGGGGGCCCCCAAAAGGCTCACACTAGAAAAAAGGGGGAGTTGTAAAGGGGGGACTACAAAAAGGGAATGCTTTTTAAAAAATTGAAGGACCCCATAAGGACATGACGGGAAAAAACATAACGGGGGGTTTGTGACATTACCGGGTCTTTCCCCCACTCAATAGCTTCCCCTGATAACTTTAAAGTCTGAAAAGCTTTGGGAGCCACTTTAAAAATTTAGAACCCATACCCTACAAGTCAAATAGATGAATGGTTTAAAGGGTATTTTTAAACCCTGTGTGAAAGGGCCATCTAAAAAGGGGTTTCCATCTTTTAAACGCCCTAGGAACAGGGCTGGTCTCTTTCCAACTGCTGCTGCAGGAGTTTTTAAAGGCCTTTCACCTGAAATAAGAAGGACAAGAATGGTTTTTTAGAAAAGGAATGAAAAACCCATTCACGGGCCAAATAAGATCATCTAGCGGTAAAACATTCTAAAAACAGCACAGTGCTTAAACCCCAAACACAGCAGGGTTTCTTTGGGACTCTTTCGGGCACTATTATGATGGGTAAATGCAAAGATTGTTTTTAAAAGATGCTACAGCTCAGGGGAGTGCACAATGTGAATTTAAAATCACAGCTGAGGTCATGTCAGGTGTTGCCATGGTGCCTTAAAAACAGTTACAGAAAAGAACGGACGGGGGGGCCCCACAGGGGCTCAAAATAGAGACAAGGGAGTGAAAAAAGGGAAAGGGCCCTAAAAGAAAGAATGAAATTTGGGAAAAATTAAAAGGACCCCAAAAGGGCATGACGGGAAAACATGACGGTGTGTTTGACTTTCCCCGGGTCTTTACCCCCTCAATACCCTTTTCTTCTGTTGCTGCAGGACCCCTTGGGTTTTTTTTTTCCACCGGGGATCACAGAAAGAACTCATCTTAAATCACCCACAGATCAAAAACTCAACACATTTACATTGTCATAGTCCAGAGTAATATTAGAAACATCGATAATATCAGAGAAATACAACATTTGTTTTTTGTAAAAAATAAAAATAAAAAAATCAAGAAATCTACACCTAATCTAACCAACTCACCTCAGTACGCCAAGGCCATTTTGCTTTACCATAGTCATAATCAGTTTCATCTCCTATTCCTATTTTCTTAAGAGAAAAAAGGCACAAGAGTGGCTTGTCGTCAACTATGATTTTTTTCATGGCACAATTTGGATTTTTGTGGTTGTCATTGACTAGTCGTCCGAGAGATCCATCTTCTTCAGATGCATCCAGGCTGAAAAGCATAAGAAAAATTGTTGTAGTTTAAAGTTTTATTGAAAGATGCATTTTCAAAAGAAATTCCTAAGAGTAGGGATGCACGATATTGGGATTTTGGCCGATATCCGATATTTAAAACTAGTGTTGCACCGATACCAGTATCGGACGGGGCCCCGATACTGCCCTAAAATGGTGGTATCGGTAAGTACCAACAAATAGGGCACCGATACCATTTTGAGAGCCATAAGTTTATTCAACTATTGTCACCCATTCCTGGTAGGCAATACAAAGTTCTACTGGATTCACTTTGTATTAGATTTTTTCCTGCTTCACAAAGGTAGGCAGCAGCTTTACAAAGCCATGATGGCAATTATTTTACATTATTATGGTATCGGTATCGGCCGATACTGCACAGCCAGGTATCGGGTATCGGTATCGGGGCCAAAAATGGCATTGGCGCAACACTATTTAAAACTCATGTAGCCGATAACCGATATCGATACCGATGTTAAAGCTGGACAAAAATAAGTAGTCATTGAAAATAGCAGTTTTGTTATCCATTTCTGATCAAATTGATTTTTAAAAACGCGGTATCGATCTATTTTACTTTCAAAATCTGGTGAAATTTCATCGTTCTGTTACAAACTCTCGTGATATTTTGCAAATTCTTGTGAGATTTTGTTAGTAAAATAGATCGATACCGCATCAATATATCAACATATAAAAATATGGCAAGATTTTGTGAATTTTTGGGGGATTTCGTAGCATAACGATGACATTCAGCAATATTTCATTAGTAAAAGAGATTGATATGGTGTTTTTAAATGGCAATATATCAGCATATGAAGATATTGGGATATTTTAATGTATCAATATTTTTTCCCTCATCTTTAGAAGTTTTTAAGTCTGTAAAAAAGAAGTTTTTGAGGAAGAAGAAGTAGTAGTATTTATTTATTTTTTTTTAGACTTTAGAAACTCAGAAGCTGATCAAATATCGGGTTAAATATCGGTGGGGTGGTCGATGTCCGATATTCAGTTTTAAGGCCGATACAGGCCGATACCGATAGGGGGCCGATTATATCGTGTATCCCTACCTAAGAGTATGTGTCTTTTAAAACATTATTCAAATATTAAACCCATGTTTTGGGGTCAAATCAGAATTTATCCTATCTAACAAAACATCCATCTATTCATGCTTACCACAGGCGATTGTTCCGATACTCAAAGTCAAAGAGAAATGTGCTTTCAATCTTTGAGTATTGTCTTGACCGGCATTCTTCCTGTGTCAGGAGTTTACCCCAATACTCCAAGACGAAGTCCCCTGGTTCAATGGGGTGTGTGGCAAAAACTCCTCTTCCTATAGTAATATAAAAATAAGTCAGCATTTAATTCTGGGAACTCAAAAAGAAATGCAGCACTCTTTAAAAGTGAGGTTGAGGTTCTTATGTCTCATTGTATTACCTGCAGACAATGCTCAGCACTCTCCAAGTTGTGTTGCTCAGTGTACAGGTAAACTGCTTTTTTGATCAGCCTTTATGTGGCCATCTAATGTTTTTGATGCTGACCCATCCAGATCAATGTATCATTGAGGTCGCGTCTGCTCTATTCTGTTCCCTTTACCTGAGAGTGCTGTGTACCATTTAGTGCAGGCAACACACTAATGAAGCATACGGACATCATACAACTCAGACTTTTGACAGACAGATGTACTGTATTGATCCCAAACTGGGAAATTACAGTTTAGCAGCAGCAAGGCATGGAACTAAAATAGCAATATTTATATATACACAGGTACTACCAAAACAATTAAATATATCCTGAAAAAGTTCTTGTATTTTCAACTTAAAGAGTGCAATTGACATATCACAAACGCAGACATAGGCAAAGGCTGAGTTGGAATTCAGTGTTAAGCCCTTTTCAGACTTGCACTGGAAAGGGGTAATATTGTGGAGTCTGTCCTTTATACCGCAAGTCATCTGTCCTGCTGATTGTACAATTAAGATAAATACAGCTCATCAACAAATGAAATAGGCTGATTATTGACAGAACTGGGTCCTTGTGACACATAAGTCCTGCCTTTTCCTGCATGATGCTGAGTTCTAGTTTTGTTAGCTGTAAAAAGAAACCTTTTTCAACATCATTTTATGCCAAATCATATTTATACTGAACCACAACAAAGTGCAGTAACTGGTGTGATTAATATTCTTAAGCACTGCATTAGGCTGGATGGTGTTGTATTTATTTTCTTTTATTCTTGGAGTATGACTTTCTTCCACAAAACCAAATAAACAAACAAATTTTCATCAAGTTCATTTGGGAATTTTAAATTGACCGAATAGTTACTGTGGCGAAAAAATTCAAAGCTGGACAGATCTGCATCTTCTCTGATGGAGCATGTGGCCTCCTGCATTTCAACAGATTTCAACAACAGCACAGTGGTCATGGTAGTTGATGCTACACAGGCTTGATGTATGTAAAATAACTTTAAAGTTTTTTAATAAGAAAAGAATTGAAGGAGGAAGTCCAGCTTTTTAAAAAAAATTCCCACATGAATTATGACATTTATTTATAAAGGGCCCCCTTTTTAAAAAAATTGCTTCTGAAATGCCCCAAGTTGTGTTTAAGGGAAAAATTTTGTCCTTACCTTTACAACTGTCAATGAATTTTCGAAAAAAAAACCCAAACCTTGCAGTTTCCAAAACAGAATATCTGGCTTTGCTTCCCTCTATGGGCTTTTTTTCCCTTTTTCCCCTTTGGACATAAAAGGGTCTGTGAAAAAAAAAGTAATCATTTAAATCGAGGCCAAACTTCCATGAAAAACCACAAACCTCCGTCTGGGTGCCCTTTTAGAGGGGGTTTTTTATATTGGGAACTGCCCAAAAATAAGATTATTTAAAAAAAAAAAATTTAAAAATTAAAACCCCTTTAAATTTCCCAAAAAAAAACAATTTTTGAACCCGAACAAAGCACACAAGTAAAAGGTTTTCCATTAAAATGTACGGTGCAATATGAAAAAAAATGTTTGTGTTTAAAAACTTTCGCAAACCTTTTTCATGAAAAAGTAGCTGTACATCCACAAAATATAGGATACTTTTTTTTCATAAAAATGCAAAAAAAAAAATTTTTGTTTTTAAAAACCCCCAAGGGGTTCAAAAAAATAGGCCCCCCCATTTCAACAAATTATTTTTTAGACTAGAAGAGTTCTCCTTTAAGAAAAAGGAAAATATAGAGTTAAAGTTGCTACTTGAGAAAAAACTGGAAACCCTAGGATAAAAAAAGCCCCGTATTCAAAATTTTAAAATTTTATTTTGGGAAAAAAAATGAGGGGAACTAGGGGGGTTAAAAAACACATTTTTCCAAAGACAGAATTTACATGGGGAAAAAGGCATATAATTTAAATTAAATGAACCTGCATATACATTAAAATGATCCTGCTGGAAATTTTTTTCTGCTTTACTTCCCTAAATTGCAGGATCTTCTAAAAAATTTTAAAAACCCTTTCCTCATTTAAATTTTCAAAATTTGTTTAAATTTTTAAAGAAAAAATAAAAATTCTGCTTAAAACCCAATTCAATGGGAAAATTTAAAAAAAAATAAATAGCCAACCTTTTCCCTGTCCGAAAACCCTTCCCAACACGGGAAGGAAAGCAACAAATGAGTACCTGGGGAAACTAACGTTACGTTTCCCCCACTTTAAAACCAACAAACAAAGGCCTCATCCTGCTTTATCACTCTCCCTTTACGGGCCCTCGAAAGGGTCCCAACCCTGTTTTTTTTTCAAAGGGGCTGCATCAAAAAAGTGGTTTCTTCCGTGCCCTTTTCCCTTTTTTTTAAAAAAATTGGGATGTTTTCGACTTTTTTCCTTTTCAAAGCGCAGGCTAATTTTTAAATTTTTGTGATCAATTTGCGCCTTTAACCCGGGACATGCGCCCTTTTATTTGCAGTCCCTTTTGGCCCCTGAGGGAAAAAATCTCCTGCGGGAGAACGGGGGGTTTGGATGGGGGGGGCCCCCCCACGGCAGAGTAAAGGGAAAGTTTCAAGCTTTCACGTAAAGAGTTTTCCCCAAAAGCCCCCAGTGACACCAAAAAAAGGGCGCCAGATTGGGCCTATCCCCTTTTTTTAAAAATATTTCCCGGGGGGGAGGGGGGCTGAAAAGTCGCTGAGGGTTGGGAAAACTGCACCGCGGCGCTGGCTCGCTCCGCCTTTTTTTTTATTCCCTTTCCCCCGTTTTTAGTCTAGTGGTGTGGGTGACGGCGGGCGGCGGATGACGCATTAATTTGCCAACACAAAATAAACGAAAAAAATTAAAATTCCCCTTTTCCCAACCCCTTTTAAAAATCGATTTTTATTTGATTCGTTTTTGCAGCCCAAATATATAAAAAATATAACCTATACACACAAAATTATTATTATTATAATAATATATATATATTTTTTTATATATATATATATATATATATTTATATAGCAGCAGTTTTCCCGGGGACAGTTCCGATGGCCGGGCGAGGCTGTTGCAGCAGTTCCAGTGGCTCCTGGAAATGGGAGCCGTAATTTTCTTTGGGCCGGGAGCCACTGAAAATTTTTTTTCATGTATTTTTTTTATTGCTGTTCTTTGGTATTTAATTATTTTTTTGGGTATTTTTTTTTGGCCCCTTTTTTTGGGAAAAAGCCTTTTTTATTTGTACTTCTAAACTAGAATTTTTTTTATATATATATATTTATTTATCTTTTATATATATTATATATTATTTATATTATTTATTTATAAAAATAGTGATGTTATCCCCTTAATAACCCGTATTTAAAAAGTACTCTTTTGTGTTTTTTTTTTTTTTAAAATTGGGGGGGGGATGTTTTGGGTTAATTTAAAAAGCATTAAAATTTTATTAAAGGGTCACATTTACTTGATGGAACGGAGTAGTTTATTTTTTCCCCAAAAAGGGGGCCCCCGGCCGGGCAGAGCCTGCCATCAGCCTCTCCGTGTCAGGCTGTGCCCCGGGACAGCCACCATCAGCCTCTCCCATGTCAAAGGGTGTGCCCGGCAGCACCAGCATCAGCCTCTTTTCCCAAAGGCAAGCTTGCCGGCAGCCCCGGGCCCCAGTGGGGAAAAAATGCAAAGGGAAAACCCGGAGGGTGCCCGCGTGTTTTCATGGGGGGCCCAGAAAAAACATGAAATAAAAAACCCGGGCAAGGGGTTTAAATATATTTTAAAAGAACTGCTGAAGGGAAAATTTTTTTTTCAATTAGGGTTTAATAAAAATTTATTTCTTATGAGGTCAAAAACATTCATAATTTGGAATTTTATATTTTTTATTTATTTTAAATTAAAAAATTTCCATTTTTTATTAAATTGAATTAGAACTCAGAAAAAATGATTTAAAATTTAGCTAAAAAAATCAGAGTACCTTTTTTTTTTTTTTTAGAAAAAAAAAAATTTAAACAAAATGAAAAATGGGAACGCTGATGAAAAGGGTTTTCAGTCCCTCCAGGTTTAGTCCCTTCCGTTAAAAAAATTTAAAAAAAAATCCACTGGACTTTGGTTTTTTAAGATTTGAAGACGTTTTTTGCCACCTCTCCAGGAAGAAGAATTGAGAAGGGAAATTTAGAAAGCTTTTCCCGGAGAGGTGACGAAACGTCTTTTAAATCTTGAAAACCCAAAATCCCCGTGGGTATTTTTTGAATTTTTTCGGGAAAAAATTGGGTCCTTTTCTCAATACCGGGTGAAAACTATCCCTTATTTTTTTTAAGGATACTTACAATAAAAATCCCCAATATATAAAAAAAAAAAAAACCCTTTTACTTAAAAGATCTATAAATAAGTTTTTCCAAAAAAAAAGGGAAGAACAAAAATAATAAATAAATAAAGTAAAAAATTAAAAAAGGGATTTTTAAGTTTTTTAACAAAAAAAGGCTGCTGCAAACCCCCCAAAAACATGTCGTAAAACCGGGCGTCGTCGGTTTTAAACCAAAGATAGGACAGTGGACTGTCATCATGGTTAGGGGGGGTTTGGGGCCGCTGGCCCCACGGTGGGGGCTGCTGCCAGCAGAGCCTGCCATCGGAGAGGCTGGTTGGGGGGCTGTGCGGGCGGGTTTTGACAGGGGCCCAAAGGGAGCCCTTTCCCCTGTAAAACATGTCCTGGCCCCTGAAAGAAGAAAAAATGGCCCAAAAAGAAAAATTTTAAAGATGATATCCCCTGGAACAGATTGGTTACTAATAGGTCCTTTTTGGGTCATTTCATTTTTTTCCCTTTTATAATTAAATTTTAAAAAAAGTAAGGGTAGCTTCAGTCGTATTTTAATAAAGGGTCCCCTTTTTCATCTCTAAAAATTTTTTTTTCTAAACAAATTTAAAAAAATTTCCGATTTTTTTAGCTGAATTTTTCAGTATTTCTGAGTTCTAATTTAGAATTAATAAAAATGGTAATTTTTAAATTAATAAAAAATATAAAAAAACCTAAATTATGTGGTTATATTGGGCCTCATAAGAAAAGGGAATTTTTTTTGAACCAAAAATTTAAAAAAAAAAATTTTACTTCATACAGTTTTTTTTTAATATATTTAAAAACCCTTGCCCTGGGTTTTTTTTTTCATGTTTTTTCTGTGCCCCCATAAAACACGCTGGCACCCTCCGGTCCCCTGGTGCATTTGTTCCCCTGTGGGTGCTGCCCCGGGGAGCTTTCCCCTTCGGAGAGGCTGATGCCCGGTGCTGCCGACAAAAGCCCGACATCGGAGAGGCTGATGGGGGGTGCTTCCGGCCGAGGCCACTTATAGGCAGATAAAATACTCCTTTTTCCCTCAAGTAAAAGTTTACCGTATAAAGGGTTTTTAAAGCGTTTTTTTAAGCCAAAAACATCCCCAATCAAAAAAAAAAAAACAAATAAAGGTACAATTTTTTAATTTAAAGGGTTTTTAAGGGGAAAACATCACTATTTTTATAATAATTTTTATATATTATATATATATATATAAAATATATATTATATATATATATATTAAAAATATAAATTTTTTAAAATTTTAAAACAAAACCCAGTTAGAAGTTCCCATTAAATAAAGGGATTTGCCCAAAAACGGCCAGAAAAAAACCCAAAAAAAAAATTTAAAAACCAAAGAACAGCAATCAAAAAACATGACAAAAATAATTTAGGGTCCCGGCCAGAATACGGGTGCCATTTGCCCGCGAGCCCCTTTTTTTGGGAAATGCTGCAACAATTGGGGCTCCTGTCTTCAGGAAAAGGTTTTTTCCAAAGGGAATTTTTCAAATTTAAAACAGCTTATTTCCCAGAAAGGGGGGTCTTTTGAAACTGCAATGAATTTTTTTTTCCATTTTTATTTCCGGGCCCAAAAAAAGGAAATACTCATTTAAAATTTTTCCCCAAATTAAATACCCAGTATAAATTTTTTTTATTAAAAGTTTTTTGCTCTGCCAAACCTGAATCCCATTTATTTTGGAATTTCTCATACAGCAAAAAGGGGTTTTTAAAGATGTTTCCAAGTTCATTACTGACAATTTTTTGGGAAAGGGTTTTTTTTCTGTCTTTTGAATTTTGAGTTTTAGGATTTCAAAAAAAAAGATAAGGGGATAGAACAAAAAAAAAACTCTTCAACAATTAATTTTTTCATTTTGGGCCTTTTTCACAAATTTTAAATTCTCCCAGCAAAGC